GTCATAGTATGTTGAAAACTAGTGCGCTAAAGGTTTCCAGTGTTTTCCTTGGGGATTCAGATTCCATTTCCTAAATGGGTCTGTTAATGATTTTTGTAGTGCTTTTGAGGTAGAAATATTTGTAAACAAGAATTTTTTGATTCTTTTGCAAAATAATGGGATAATTTCCCATCAACTACAAGAACAATCAGCAAACTGATCTACATCTCATGAGACTTAGGCTACATCCACACGAAGCCAGAGCTTTCCCTATCCAATCTTTTTTTCCCCTCGTCTCAAGAAATATCTGCGTCCACACGTAACCACGTAACCGACACAAAACGATATAGTATACATGCCAGACCAGCATGTGGCGCTGTAATTCTGCCACAGAGATACACTAAAAATGGAGAAGAAGACTTGGATTATGCGCATAAACCTTGCGCGCGGTATACAAACGAACATGGAACAATACATTTATTAATCTGTGTTAATGTTAGTTAATAAAAAGACAATCGTTCAGTGTTTGTTCATGTTTTTGTTGCTGTTACGTGACGTAGCGGTGACTGACTAGGGGCGAGATATGGGCTGATGACGTCATTGTTTCAGAAAATATACGGATTCGCTGTCCACACGAAAACGCAAGGGTGGTGTTTTCAGATTTATCCACTCTGGGACCCGGTTTCAATAAATATCGGTTTCACTCTCCCAAAATGCCGGATCCGTCTGGACGAAATGTCTATATGATACAAAATTAATGCGTATACAGCTAAACGCGTCTTCGTGTGGACGGGGCCTTAAGAACAAAACACAGTAAGCTGCAAGATATGCATTTATTTTAACTGAAAAGAAATGTCTAAAACTATACTGGTTGTGCTGTATGTTTGATTCACTAAGAAGAGCTGGTTCATAAGAATCATTTCTTGGAATCATATGGTATGGAACGATATTCCGGACAATTTTCAAATAGACATACATAATTATGTCTTTTTTACTCCAAATGTAGCGATTATCCCCTGCTAACAGCGGGAGCCACAACGGTACGCACAATAGGTCAATAGTCACTATAAACCAAATGCTTTTCACCTGTCTCTGCATCTCTCACTGTTTACTCTCACTTACACTTTTAATCCGTAATAGAGTGTCACACCTGCCTCAAGACCTTTTACCGTTTGCACTGCACTTGAGGCACTTAAGCAAACAAACTATATATATATAACTATATAGATATAACTATGCAATTGCATTTGGATTATGTCACAATTTATGCGTCCACATATTGAAAACGCAATTGAAAATACAATTTGCTATTCTATTTGAAAATTGTCCGGAATATCGTTCCATAATATGGTCTGCACTGTTTCTGCTTTGTCTTTGGTTCACTAGCAAGAACCAGTTCAAAAGAGTAATTTGTTTGGGAACTATTTAGTCTGCACTATGTGTGCTGTATGTGTTTGGGTGACTAACATAAAATGGTTTAAAAAGTCATTTGTTTGGGAATCATTTAATCTGAACTTCTTGTGCTGTACTGAATGTGTTTGATTCACTAACAAATATTGGTTTAAAGGATTTGTTTGTCTGGGAATCATTTGGTTTGCACTGTTTGCGCTGTATATGTTTGATTCATTAACAAAATTGGTTCAAAAGAGTCATTTTTGGGAATCATTAGGTCTGCTCTGTTTGGGCTGTATCTGTTTGATTCACCAGCAAGAACGGGTTCATAAGAGTTATTTGATTAGATGAAGGAAAGTGAAGTGGAGTCAAGACCGATTTTTTTATTTTTTTATGTAATGACTAGTGTTGTTGAAAAAACAGCATATATGCTGGTTAGGTATGTTTTGAAGCATGGCAGCTGGTTCTAAGCTGGTTCTAAGCAGCTAGCTCCTGTTCAGAACCAGCTTGTGACCAACTAAGGACCAGCTTAAACCAGCTCAAACCGGATGTCATGCTTCAAAACATACCTAACCAGCATATGCTGTTTTTTCAACAGGGGAATTTAGCTAGATACTAATGCTTACATACAAACACAACATGGGGGTCTGAGATATCAAATGTATTATGCTGTGGCAGTATGTACTAATATTGGCGTCCCGCAGGAGTTTTTAGCAGGGGGTCCGCAATGGTATCACAGGGGTCCGTCAATGATTAAACAGAAATACAATATTAAATGAACTTCAACCAAATGCAAAATCTTGCATCTCGTCTACCACATTAAAATGTATGAATTCAAAATAAAATGTATACGTCTGTACATCAATACTGATTATTTGAATGACTTTATGTTAGCATCATAGCAAAGTATCCAAATATGCTACTATACATATGATATTATAGGTCAGGCTTGAAATCTAATCAGTTTTATGCTATATATACTTAATAAATACTCAAACGTATGTGTGAATTGTCTGTTTTTTAGGTTTAACCTGCTAGTTTGAGTTTGAATATGATCCTGGTTTTGTAATATAACTGTAATATTTACTCATGACCTTCAGAAAGCATATTCATGTGGCAGCTGTCGTTTTGTCACATGAAAACTTGATTGTTTTAAAGTTTGATGGATTTTGACGGAGTCTGACGTGCATCTTTCCGGCAGAGCTGAAAGGAAACATCTAGTGAGAAGATGCCTTTTGCTGTCTTCTGTCATTCTCTGTCACCCACATTCATCCCGTCTGTGGTATAAAATCACTGTCTCTTCGCTGAGAAATGTCTGCGTGTTGCCGTCTGGTGTAACTCTGTGTCCTCTGAGCTCTGGAGATTCGCGGATATGTGTGTTGAAGGAAGGAGAAAAGAAATGGCTTTCATTTCTTTTGTCTTCAAATGAAATTCTCCTGACTTTTCCCTCCTCTCTGACACGCTGATTAATTCCAGCATGTTGTCTCTTTATATTAGGGCATGAGCGGACCGGACCGCGGCTAAGCAAACCAATCTCATCCTGTTGCCATGGGAGCGCTTTCCTCGCACCGTTGGTAGCTAGAGCTTGGCCCATCACCAGATCGAACGCGTACCAACTTCCTGTTCCTTCTATGAGGGCTGTGAAAGAGCTCAGATGGAGCATTTCGCTCAGACTCTGGTCTACTTGTAGTTTATGTACAGCAGTATTATTATAGTTAACAAACTTTTAAAAAATGTTACTTGAAATAATATAAATGTTAACTGAATTAAAAATCAAATATGAAAAAAGCTATTTTATTTCAGCTAGTTATCAAGGCACCAAGGCAACATTTCTCATTTTCATTTAGTTTAACTTTATATAGTAAAATAACTAAAACTAAAACTGAAATAAAAATGTATAATAATAAAAAATTATAGAATATAGAAAGTTGAAAAAAAAAAAGTTAATTTTTTTTTTTTAAACTGGAAATAGAAAAATAAAAACTAAGTATCTCTGTGATACTAAAATTAAAGTGGTGCATTGCTGCCACATGCCTATTCTTTTTTATACTCAATTATGTCCTAATAACGAGATATGTCATTTAAATAAAATATACCTTGTTATTACGAGAAAATATTTTGTTTTAACGGCATAAATCTCGTTATTATGAGAAAATATATTGTTTTAATGGCATAGTATCTCATTATTATGTGAAAATATGTTGTTTTAAAAAGAAAATGACGTTTTAACAACATAGCATCTCATTATTACGAGAAAATATATTTTAACAACATAATGTCTCATTATTACAAGAAAATATTTCATTTAAATGACAGCATCTCACAAGAAATTGTTGTTTTATTGACAAAATATTATTATGAGAAAATGTTGTTTTAACAAGAAAAATTTCATTTTAACAACATAGCATTATTTTAATGACATAACATCTCATTATTACAAGAAAATATTGTTTAAATGACTTAACATATCTTTATTATGACATAAGTGAGTGGAAAAAATAATATGTACTGTATGTGGCAGCAATGCACCACCGTATAAAACGACACTAATATACAGTATGTTGTGATATTTCTTATGGGCAGGTGCAGAAAAATGAATTGTATAATTGTTTAATTTGACAAATTATTTTAGTGTCTTCAAACAATCCTTCATAATGCTTTTGCCCTATTAAAGGTGCTTTAAGGAATGGCTTTAATGTCACGGATAAAGCGTTTCCACTACCTGATAGATATCGCTGAAATAGGTGTGTCGAGACATCAGATCCGTCTCTGTGACAAATCAAGATGCTGTAAGCAGATGATAAAAAAAGATTTGGGGAGTGGCCAGAAGTCTTAGCCAATCAGAAACTGTCTCTGCCTGTCAATCATGTTGCATGTTCATGATTAGAATGGCAATTCTTAAGGAATTTAACCATTCAGGTTCTATTCATTCTTGTCTTGTAGTATTTTGAGGAAGAAATATTTTGGAAACGAAGTGTGATTTCATTGCAAAATGATGGAATAATTTCCCAGGTGTGTTAAATTTGGTGTTATCGCTCTCACTCTCTCATACTGGTCACTGGAAGTTTAACATGGCACCTCATGGCAAAGAACTCTGAGGATCTGAAACAAATTATTGTTGCTCTACATAAAGAAGACGTAGGCTATAAGAAGATTGCCAAGACCCTGAAACTGAGCTGCAGCACGGTGGCCAAGACCATACAGCGGTTTAACAGGACAGGTTCCACTCAGAACAGGCCTCGCCATGGTCGACCAAAGAAGTTGAGTGCACGTGCTCAGCGTCATATCCAGAGGTTGTGTTTGGGGAAATAGACGTATGAGTGCTGCCAGCATTGCTGCAGAGGTTGAAGGGGTGGGGGGTCAGCCTGTCAGTGCTTAGACCATACAAAAAATTATTTTGTCAGGAATCATTTGGTCTGCATGCTTTCTTTTGGTTCACTTTAAAGAACTGGCTTGTAAGAGTCATTTGTTCTGGAATCATTTGGTTTACACTGGATGCACTGAATGTTTTTGATTCAGTAAAATCATGTTTGAGCTACGTTTGAACAAAATAGCCTACATCGGTGGCCTGTGTGTAGCTTATAGCTCTAATATATTTTCCTTTTTATTTTTGTCTTTTTGGTCAACAGATATCTTGAGACTAAACGATAGGAAGACAAGACAAGAGAACAGGGCCAGAAGACAACACATGCTGGATGCAAATTCACCTCCACCTGAGCTCTGTATTAATGCGCCAAGTTGCATCAACCCTTTACAACACCGCAAACAACCTGCAGGTAAACTATGAGCTAGCCTATACTTTCAGTTTTTTCCAAGAATTATCATTGCCCATCGTGATTTAGGCTATTGTTCCTAATTTCATTTTTTAGTGAACATTTTTGTCTTTCTATCTTTATAAATGTAGTAAACCACTCAAGGTTGCACATCACACAGTTAAAGGAGTAGTTCACCTAAAAATGAAATTTTGCTTAAAATGTGCTCACCCTCAGGCCATTGAGCATGTAGATCAGTTTGTTTCTTCATCGGAACAGATTTGGAGAAATGTAGCATTCCATCACTTGCTCACCAGTGGATGCTCTGCAGTGAATGGGTGCCGTCAGAATGAGAGTCCAAACAGCTGATAAAAACATCACAATAATCCACAAGTAATCCATACAACTACATTTCTCCAAATCTGTTCCGATGAAGAAACAAACTCATCTACATGCTCGATGGCCTGAGGGCGAGTGCATTTTCAGCAAATGTTCATTTTTGCATGAATTGTAAAATCACTGTAATGCTCAGCCTCAGGTGGCTTATTGGTTTATTCTGACCCGCCCGTTACCATCTGGCCCGTGGCCCCGTGATGCCATCTCCTCTAGTGTTGTATCGGAGATGCCCATCGACGTGCCCCTCTTAATCAGCGCACCTGTCCAAACAGATGTCCATGAGGATTTTGTTTATTGATCACGTGTGCTGCTCGATCTCCTTGACGGGAGTCACAGGATGAACTCCTGGGGTCTCGGAGAGGAAATGTAAAATCGTTCTTCCTCATATCATTAGTTTTTTTAATATCTGATAAGCTTGCATGTGCAGGCTTTGTGTTTTATTTGTGCGGATCAGGGCTGACTCAGGCTAGGCTCCGCAGCTGTTTCTCAGGTACAGTCCAGCAGCCTTGAGCGAGAGGAACGAGAACAGCACTGACAAAACGCTTCAGACACCTTGTGAGAGTGAACTCTGTCTGTTTGCTTCCGTACACTCTGTATTCCGGATCTCAAGGTGATGCACCTGTCGGCCGTCTAGAGTGATTCTGTCAGGAAGCACACTGTCTTCAGGCGATGGCTTGTTAGTTTGGAGGTGGGACTCTCGTTTTGAGCTCTGGGTTCAGTGGTTAAAGTCAGCATGAAACCGCATATGCAACCCATTTTATTCTTGTTGATGTATTTCTGATACAATATGTAGGATAGGACTTCATTAGGTTCATTAGGAATTGATTTGATGGTGGAAAGTGGGCATTTCAGAGTGAGTTTGAAAGCTTTTTACCAATAATCTCTTTAACGAAATTATTGACGAAATAATCAATTGTTGTTGTTGTTGTTGTTGTTGTGCATTTTAAGGGATAGAAAACAAGATAAGAACAGCAAAGAAAAAAAATGAAATACATTTAATAACTATAATTAAAAGATTTTAATTAAAATATTCTATTGACAACGATATTATGACAAAAAGTAACAAGATGTGTTAATATGTTAATTACTGTTATTTAAAAACCGCAATTAGTTACTGCTAATTAAAACAATGATTTAAGAAAAAAGAAAAATGTTTAATAATTTATTCATAATTTTTTAACATTTAATTGTGATAAGCATATAGTGCGTTTGTATGTATAAACAAGCATATACTTTCTTTGAGATGTACATTAATAAATGTTATATATATTATATTATTTTATATCATTTTTTTGTCTACACTTTTAATATTAATAATACTTATTTTTGTTGTTAAGGTTTAAAATGTTCAAAACTTGGTTAAGGTTTGGTTAAACTGCTTGGAAGTTTGATTAAGCTTTAGTTTGTTCAAGTTTAAGACACATTAATGATATTCTGTCAGTGTAAAATAGGCTAAAATGAATGTGTGTTGACAAAATATTGACTCAATTTAAATTACATTGTTTCAAAACTATTAAAAAATAAATAAAAATCTGGAAAAATAAACGTGAAGGCTAACGGTCAATTCAATTTTTGTTCTTTATTTCTTTATTTGCAGTGTTTAATTATTGTAGTACCATTTTTGCATTTAATGATAAACAGCTGTAAATGACCTCATTATCTAGTGGTAAGATTAAAGAAAGATTCAGAAACATTATTTTTCACTATCCAGTCGATTGCAGATGGATAAAGTCAAGTCACACATCTCATTATGTAAGTTAAATGGGTTCCAAATGTCAATTGACGCTCACTTTAGAAAATGAGTAGCTTGACAAACTGCAGTTTTAAAGTATCTTCCCCAGCACTCTCTCCACCGGCGTCAGGAGTGGAAAGTGCACATGAGGAGAAACAGAAGCATGCAGTAATTTGAACAAGAGGTGGTCTGACTCACTCCAAAATGACTGTCCTTTGCAGCGTATTCACTTAGCTTTGAGTTCAACTAAAGAGAGGACAGCCGTTTAATTAGCAGTGTTTGTTTTAAAAATGGTAAATGATTATCTGTGTGCTGGAGGCATTCAGGTCTGCCGTTTTTCTGCTGGCCTTCAGGACGGGACGATGATTGAATGTGTAGAGCCGGTAGCGCTCGCACACACACACACACACACACGTTTAGCTTGATCCCTGCTAATCTTGTCAGCCATCAATATGTTTGGTCAGTGCAGGTATCAGCGATTGATTTTTCTTCTCGGGTTCAATGCGATTCAGAGTGAAAAACCCACAGCTCCATCTCTACTCTTATTCATCATGTCCTTGTTTCTCCTTCCCTCTCATCAGATCTTCTCCTCTCTTCTTGTTCTTCTCACCTCACCCTGATCTGAGTTCAGGCCCGTTGAGATTTAGCATTAACATGCTTCTTCGCGTGAAGTTCGGAGGACGTTCTCAAACCTCTTGTACTCGTCTGGGCTTTTGACCTGTTTTTAGCAGTTCTCACTATACATCAATATCACTGTTTCTCTTTCTTATTGTTCAAATGTTGTGCTACAGTCACAGATGATTCCTCAAATCTCGCTGCTGTGGGAACTGAACTGAGAATGCTTTTTAAATTTCAGTTCAGTTTGAACTATTGGAGAAATGTTTAACAGATGGATGGATGGCTAGATTGTTACATTGTTGGATGGATGGTTAGGTGGTTAGATTGCTAGATTGTTAGATGGTTAGAAGGTTTGTCGCCGTTGTCCTGTGGCTGCAGTCGCGTCTAGGTGGATGCTGCACACTGGTGGTGGTTGAGGAGAGACCCCCCCCCCCCCCCCCCCCCCCATTTTTAAACGCCTTTGGGG